TTAGCTTTTTTTTGAATCATATTGTATTCTGCTATCTAGCTATGACAATCAGGACTTCGCTTGTGAGAGTGAAGCTAACCTACACATACAAGCCAGCGCTGGAAAGTGCTGTGGTTCGCCTCATGTTGGTGTTATCCGGTATAGTTTGAGTAGCCTGGGCACCTGCTCCACTTGGGAAGGAGACGCCTCAGGTTACATTTCGCGCGGAGAAAAGTTGATGGATGACGGAGGCATGTCTGGATAACTCAGGGTTTTCGAGACGTTCCCCTGGGTGGGTATTTACGGATGAGGGTTGACTTGGGGTGAAGAAAAAGCCGCCATAACTTCGCAGTGGTACTTGCAAATGAAATCTGAGGAATTAGTGCTCTACTTTTAAACTGAATCATCTATTCTATACTTTTCTTTGATATTGTGTCATAGCTAGATAGCTGCATACGCAATTAAAATCTGATGCTGTAAGCAGACTTGTGCAAGCACAAGTCTGGATCCAGTCCAAAAGCGAAAGCACGATCTGCGTGCAGGCATGTCAGACTAGTAATGATGATCAGGGGCATGAATAGGGTACAACTAGATATTATAGTGCTACGATGGACTCGTAGCACGGAGACAATTAATCAATTCATTCTTGTATTCGCTTTTACCTTTTGACGATTCACGTGACATTCGCACGAAGACCTCTCTAAGTTCTACAGATGCAAAAAAAAAAGAGCTCTTGACACCTCCGCGATCTGTACCTTTTCCCTTCGATACATTCCCAGCTTTGGCTCATCTCAACATCTCCTCATCCCATCCAGGGGTCGTTTTCTTCACTGGAGGCCTCATTCCGTCGCCCACCAATGCCTTCTCAGTTTGTATTCCCTTTTGATTCCTTCATGCGGCATCCCTCTGTCCTTCAGCCGATATCGTCATCCCAGAAACCTTGTAGAATATTCACCCCTCCGGCATTGCCCCGTCGCTGCCGTACCTCTAACCGTGGAGGTCGAAAACGCAACTGAGAGCTCAAGACTGAGGCACCGGTGCCGCAGCCTTTATCGAACGCCTTAGTTGGTGTGACGGCGAAATGTCGTAAGTATTTTGTCGGTAGCGATTTGTCGCAGGTCAATTTGTTGGTGCCCTTGGCCGAGGCGAGGACGCACTAAAGGCCGCGTTCAACTGGGTCTCACACAAAACTGTAATAAGTCTCACATTCACTTGATCAGCTACGTCATAAACTGTATTTATAAGTGGACCACAACATATGATGTAATGTTCATGCTTCTTGCACATCAAAAATTAATATTAGTTTTGAGTGGTGGAGCTTCGGTTTTAGGCCATGGCTTGGCCAAGCGTGCCAATCGGTACACGTCAGTATCAGCTGCAGCTTTATATAATTTACGCCGCTGGTATTAGTGTTTCGCGCTTTTGAGCAGGTGAAGGAAAGCCTTTCTGTACCAATGGTCCCTGAATATTTTGTATTCGCGTTTGGCTGTCGACACTCTCCTACGTTGTGCGGTTGCTCTCATGGCGTCGCTAAGAGTCTAGACCAGCCGATCAGCAAGGTTGTACCCCTTGCACATTTAAACTATCCGCTGATGCTTGAACCCATTGGCACGATTATCCAGTACCTTGGTAAGACCTTGGTGGCCTTGGTATGTCACTGGGATGGCTGGCCGATTTTCATGACTGCTTGGCTGTAGGGATTCGGGCGGGTGACGACTCGTACAAGTGTTCGAGGGTCCGGTAAGAGGTCGATATCCATCGAGACATCGACAAGAGCTCCAATGTTGGATCAAACTAGGTTGAGCGCGTTTCGAAGATCCTGTGTCAGCACCTTCGGTCTAGAAAATAAGTTCACAACATGATCAGTAGGGAGACTATTTTCAATACTTGTCAGTGGTGTCCCCTGCGAAACTCTAGCTCTCACTGTCGAGTCTGCAGAGCCGAGATTGACTAATAAAGTCCTCACTTCGACGAGAATTCCCAATCGCTTGCGGGGTCTCTATCCTCTTCATCTCTCAACACATTCCCCCATCACCATTATCATGAAGCTAACCACGATCAGATCAGATGGTAGGGTCGGAGCCCTACTCATCACTAACCCTTGATCATGGAGGTAAAGCCATCCGATGAGTTTCCGGAGCGTAACCAGAACCCGATATGGCGATGGTGAATTGGATAAAGTTGACCTCTACTGTTACAAAAGGAGATATAGATCAATATGCGCACCCCATGTGGTCCCGACGTCTAGGGCTCACCTGGTCGGGGCTGCAGGTTTTTTTGAGACTTTTTCCGCGCACGCAATTTCCATTGCTACCATTTTTTTGGTAAAAAGTTCCGTGGGAAAGGTGGGCCGAATCTCGGCATGAAGTTAGGTTCAGGGTTTATTGAGAAGTAGGATATCGGCTCCCAAATCCCATGAACATTGCAGGATGAAGTCAGCAGCGGGGTCTCATTTTCCCAAATTAGCGCAAAGAGACGACATTTTTGATGCCATGGTATGAGGTTCAGTAAAGTCACAGCCACTTGCAAGAATTGAGAAGCATTTGAAAAGTCGTTTTCAGCAGTCACTTCGGTGGCTTTCTGATTAGATTCCAATCCTCAGATCGGAGTATCTCTTTCCTTTTGATCCTTCTTTTAAACCACCGACAGCTGATCTTTCGTGAGCTGTACAGTTTTGTCAATAACCTGTGCCGGCCTTGTCATGCAGCAGGGCTTGAAAGCAGAGTGTGGACCTAGACAGGTTAAGTACTTTGTGATAGTTGTTCTGCATGTGGAAGCCTTTACCTGATGGAACTACCACGTGTGTATCTTTCAGCTCGCAAGAAGAATTTCGTCGGATGATGTACCCAGCATCAGTAGCATTGAGCGATTTTGGCCTGAGCTAAAGTTAGTGAAGTCGTCTGCTCCTGTTGAACAACCTTCTCCCAAGCCTTGGCTTTCCAGTTTCAAAGTACAATACCCAGTAAGTGGATGGCCTTGACATGCTCGCAGCAACAGCGTGGGCCTAGATCCGTCAAACGCCTGTTTGGAGCGCTGCTTGGCTGATGACCATCTCCAGTGTGACTGGCACTAGTCATTGAGTGTGTGTAGCCTGTCTGGAGTATTAGGTGACAATACTGTGATCGAATTGGAAGTGGCTTCTAGCTAGACTTCCGAGTTGTCTGGGATAACAGCTCCCAATAAGGGCTCATTTCTTGTCACTACTTCTCCAGCTTGTACGGCAAACATTGAGTTCACGACGGTGACTTGCCAGGTCAAGGAGCTCGCCTGGCGGAGAATACTCGCAATTCTTACCGTAGGGATTCTGAAGAAATGTTTTAGGCAGGATTCACGGGTTCCTTTTTTGATCCGACTGGGCTTTTTTTTTTTAAAAAATCATTTAATGTGTATTCAGCTATCTAGCTATGACAGATGACCGGTGCTATGTTTAAATTATGGATGACTCTTTTGACGTTAGACACTCATGCCCTAGATTTTGTTTGCAAATATCACTGAGGCATACTTCCTTGCACAAGCAGTCGGCCCTCCACCGTAAGTACCCACTAAAGGAACGTTTCGAAGCCTTTTACTATACAAGCATGCCTTCATCAACCACATACATCAGCACCGGGATAAATGAGGCTATGTTATGGCGAATTCGAATCAGCGATCTCCTGTATCAAGTGGGATGGGTGTCCAAGCTATCTAGAATTTCATTGTGAGACCAGCTCAGATGATATACCTCAGCACCATCCATCATTGGCTTCTACTTCTTTTCTCAATCGCATCTTCGCCATCGAATTCGTGCGGCGCATGATACTAAATTTGAAAATTTATATTTTCCAAAATATCGAAACCCAACCCCTTCCAAGATTGAATTCGTCCCAAATATCATGTCTTTCTGTCCTAGTATCTCTCACATCTATCTCGAAGATCTGTCTCCCATATTTATGCACCATAATTTGTCTTCTCCAGGTGGTGTTCACATTCTTGTGAATGCATATGCAGAAGCCATTCGAGGTCAGAAAATATTTTGGTGAATGGTGTGGCCAGTAGAGAAACGATATACTAAGTCGTACCAGCAGTTTTGATGAGGCTTTGGCCTTAATGAGCCTTTTTAATTGTAATGAATCATTACCTCGTGGGCCAACTACACCGTAATTGCGGAATGTGACTGAACTTAGTAGTCGAGGGGATATTCGACTATCAAATTTGTAGAGGACACCGCGGGGTGGTGCTCCATCTGTAATTTTAAATCGTTTTTTCTAATTTGTACTTTCAATGATAATCTGTCCTAGTGAAATAACCTCATCCACGTCGAAAGATCGATGCTGTTAAATTGACTATTAAAAGCAAATAATCACAAGGATCTTTTTGAAGGTTTAGAAGGATGCGCCGTTGGCCTAGTGATGTACGATGAGCCAAAACGTTGGGACAGGTCCAAGCGTTTTCGGACATCATCCCTGTATATGATTTGCACCCGAAGTGTCGGTTCCTTTCAGATAGAGTTATTGGATCGCTCTTGGATTGTTAGGCTTCCCATGGATGGGCTTACGAAATCCGTGCAACCCATATTTTTGCCGTAAGATTTGTCCATTGCCAATCCACTAGTCCACCTTCTTATCCTTACAACACGAAATTGAGAACTTGATCAATTTGAAGGCCGTCCTTGGAATATTTTCGCAGCGATTAGAGATGAGCATGCATCTAAGGCATTGGCTCAATTTAAAATAAAACATGACTGATTGTGCTTTGGTCTTCCTGCTTCGATGTTACCAGTGCATTGTGATCTAGCCCAGAGCTTGGCTTGTAAGCTACATCATACACGGCGGCTCCAAAGCCATATATCCGGATTCCCTGGGCAAGAGACCCACAGGCCCTTCATGGTTTTAAATGTTAAACAAACTTTTGTCAAAAATTAGCAAGAAGGATTTAGTATGCGGATGACATTAATGATACCCATTGAGGAACAATTCTTCACTTGAATCATTAAATACTATCATCTCAAACATTACGAACTATCGACTTGCTGATCAGCCAACATGAAATACCTACATCAAATCTCCAGAAGTCCCTCTCTCTCGATAAAAGCTCTGTTCCTGTTACTTTTAAGCTCAGGTCTTGCATCGCTACTGCAAGGTGAGATAAACCTATCAGATAAGCCTGGGTATCATTGCAAGAAAAAAGTATACCTGTTCAGTGAGGTTGAAACAGCTCGTAAAGCAGCTTGCAATGCATTCGTATCAATAAGAAAACGTGCAAGAAGACCCCTTGTTCATACCTATGATACCGATATAGAGAATTTGATATATGAATGGACATTTCCATTGTCTATATCCAAAGATTCTGAAGGTGACTATTCAAAATCTTTCTTACGCTCAACCAAATCCGTCCAAAAGTCCTAGCTCACAAAATATTATCATAGGTAAAAGGAGAGAAAATATAGAAAAAATAACCTTCAACAACAACTGTGAACTCAAAGACGTGCTTTATTACCACCGTAAATCACAAGAATTTAAGTCTTGTATTAAAGTACCTAAGGCTTCAACGAGTACGAATCCTGGGATAAACCAAGTCCCCTCAGAAACTTCTGTTCAGTGTGGATCTTTATCATGGGAAATTAAAGAGATTCAACGACATTCAAGTAAACGCTTGTCCAATTTCTTAGATAGTTTTTTTGAAGTAGAGGACACGTCTCATGAAATTGATGGCCCATGGAAAAGAACCATTCTGAAAAAACATGTAATTATAAACCAAGTTTGTAAGTTTACTGAATCTGTAAAAAATGAAAGTCATTTAATAATTCTAAAAGCACAAAATATACGCTACGAAATTATAGTAAACAATCAGTATGAAGTTCACGCTATCATAGTAATGCACTATATAAGTCATAAATTAATTGCAGCCTCTAAAGCTAACAACGATATAAATGATATAGTGAGAAGGAAACCGATTCATTATAAAAACAGTATACGACTTGTATGCATGCTTGACAAAGTCTTTCCGCTTTTCCCCAGTAAGAAAATGTCGGATCTAGTGAAGTCTCGCAAGCGAAAGAGCCGAGATTAGCCTATTTCTTTAATCATTTAATGTGTATTTAGAAATAGAGCTATGACAAATGACCAGTGCTATGTTTGCATGTGGGATGACTCTTTTGACGTTACAGACACTCATACTCTGGATTTCATTTGCAAATACCACTATGAGGTATGTTCGCTTACACAAACAGTCGACCCTCCTCCGTAAGTACCCACCAAAGGGAATTTCGAAACCTTTGGTTATCCATGCATACCAGCGCCGCGAGAAAAGCGGTTGTGTTTGCCTGATTTGAACCAGCGATGTACTGTCTCGAGTGGGATGTGTGTCCAAGCTATCCAGACTCTACTTGGCAGACCGGCCAAGACGATGTACCACCATACCATCCAACCTTGGCGGTGTTCATAGTGTCGCCTGCACTCTCGCAACCGAAGCCTTGGCACGCACAAAGCTCAATTTGTAAAACTTCTTGCCAAAGTTCAAAATTCCATGCCCGTCGTGTTCATATCCTTCCTTTGCGTCATCTTTTCAACTTATCCTGGTCCCTCTCACGTCCTTTCCAAAGAACTGTCTCCCAGATGTGTGCGCCACGCTTTGTGTCCTCCGTCGGGTATAAATATCGGCGTGGGCGTGTATTTGGCGACTAGCTGAGACCAGAGAATAGTCGGCGAGAGGTGTGGTCATTGGAATGAGGATGTAGTGGATCGTACTTGTAGACTTGATGAGGCTTAGGTAGGAATCGATTTCGTTGGGAGTGAAAGATTGATATAGTGGAGTATTTTGAATCATTGCCTCGTGGGCCAACTTCTTTGATATTACGAAATTTAACTGAACTTGGCTCTGGAAAAATATTTCACTCCCAGGTTCGTAGAGGACACCGCTTACAGGTTTTCAGTCTTACCCTTCGAGATTAGCCTAAGTACGCTGGAAGAAGGAAATTACTTTTAGAGTGGGTAGTCGGATAAGAAAATCAAGAATTATTATTCAACTGATTGATAGGATTGAGGCGGAGTTATCCATACAGAATAAAGAATGCATGGTTACTAAATCATTTCAGGGAAGGAAGTAATAACAAGGATAGGAAAAAATATCATTTTTGCCAGAAAGCTGCGCAGCCTTCCACGATTTCCGTATCATCAATTTGACATTGTAATTATCATTTTCATCTGCATTACCCTCCTTCCATCTTTTCGCTTTCCGTGCTCCAACATGGCGAGTGTGGGTGCTGGTGTGGGTAAATCCAGCGGTCGCGATGCGTCGCAAAATGCGACAATAGCCTCAACAAACAACGGCAGTGGAGCGCAGACAGCTCCAAAGGACAGAAACCTCGAAATCGTGGGGAAACTGCTAAAATAGCTTAGACTAATAGTGATGGGAGAGATGGATAAGGAGGACTTAGCCTCAATGGAGGACGTGAACGAGGCCGTGAAGGCCTTCAACGCACACAAAAGGGCCTGGACTGATATGTCCCGGAAGACGTCTCTAATCGAGGAGAGGATGATGGTATTGGAGGAAGTTGTCAAGAAATGCCTCGCGGATCCCGCTCGGAAAGCTGCTACAGCAGTGGTTTCGGGCGCGCCGTCACCAAGGAGTTACGCATCGGTTGTGGCTCCGCAAATGACGAAAACAGCGGTGCGAATAAGAATCGATGGCGCCCAAAACTTGCAGCCACAAGAGCTGCTATCCAAAGCACAACAACACATCCAAGGTGCAATTGCAATTCGACAGATGCGAAGCAACGACACCGAGGTGTTTGTCTGGTCCACTTCCCAGAGAGACGCGGCGCTTAACATGCGACAACCAGTGGAATTTAAAATCTTGCGGCAAGACTTTCCAGCCGAGGTTTCCGGTGTCCCACTGCGGACAAGAATTGAAGGTGGTAAAGATGGCAGTAACTACGCCATCATCAGGGAGATTGAGACGCCGACGAAGGCATGAATTCTAGGCCAAGTAATAAGTAGAATATGATGGCTCCCTGACGGAAAGGAACATCAGCGATCGAAGAAAAAGGGTCGCAATCGTGGAAAAATTGTGGTCAGCCTCTCATCGAAGACAATGCAAACTAAGGTAGTTCGACAGGGCCTTGTAATTAACGCCATGCTCTTCACCGCACAGGTATGGTCACCACGGGCCCAGCTAAAGCAGTGTTATAACTGCAGCCAGTAGGAACACACGCAGGCGTCTTGTGGAAAGACAGCTAGGTGCGGTGAGTGCGCTGGTGCTCAGCAAACTCGGGACTGTCCGGGGAAAAAGATTTCTTGTGCGAACTGCGGCAAGGAGCACCGTTCGTGGCAGAAATCAGCGTGTCAGACCTATCAGGTCTACAAGGGAAGTGTTGAGAAGGCTCGGATGGAGCTGCTATCGAGAACGGCGGAAATATAGAATGAAAACTCTACGGTGGCGCCAAAACGAACAGTCGGACCAACTGATGATCAGGGATTCACTTTGGTCACCAGTAAAAAGGCTGAAAGATTTAAAAGAGGGCCGGGACAACCACGTAAGGTAGTCGAAGCCCAAGTGGCACCACCATCGGGACCAACGCCGAGCGAGGAGGTGCCTTCTTTATTTCATTTTTCATAACACTAGTCTGATCGAAGGGGGAGTTAATGAATTTCGATGAAAGTTTATAAATTTGTGGTTGAAAGGAACGTCCTCAGCATTAAGCCGGGTCGGTTCAGAGGGGTAGGACATCGTGTTTCATTTGCTGAAAGCTTTTTCCCTTATCAAAGCGGAATACCGTCTTCATGGATCTGTATACAGAAGCTAAATAGGACGTTAAACTAGAGAAATTCAATTCAAGTAATAACAAGATAACCAAGAAAATTGGCTTGGACTAGTTCAATCTTGTAAGGGAGACAAAAAATCTATACAATGTACAGGTGCTACGCGCTAAAATCAATCATTGACAAAATATCTAGAGCATGAGATCGAAATGTCGAGCAAATTTCACTTAATTTATTTGTATGATCAGGTATACGGGTCTTCAAATTCTGCCCAAGAGATTTTTAGTTGGGATTACAGGGTGATATCACGTCTCTACTTGAGTAGGTAAATCTATGATATATTTGATTTTGTCGATGATTTCTCTACATCTAATCTTATGCTATCTGGGGGACTATTCTCAACACCTGTCAGTGGTGTCCCCTACGAGCCTCCAGCCCTCACTGTAGAGTCTGCAGGGCCGAGATTGAGTTACACCTTTTCAACTTTGAGCTGAGTCATCTCCTCCTCCCCCAAAGATGTGCTTCCGATAACTCATAAGACGAGCAAGACGACGATGATGATGCTGGGAATGAGGAACGATAATGCGGTACCAAACGCTACAACGGTAGTCAGAGAAGCCCTCGTTATATCACAACATGTGCTACCCACCGGCGGGCGAACAAAAAGCCCACGAAAGCAGAGTAAAAGACCCTCTCGCCCTCAATAAAAGCAGATTTCGACTCGTCAAAAATATCGTCCCTACAAATCTATAATTTTGAACATACTAGCCAGGAGAACGTCTGAAATACATGAGTTACTCGACGACCCCACGTCCGTAACGACTTTTGTATGCTAGGCTAGGCTCCTTCACGACAATCACTCTCGAACAAGACTTTTCTGACATCCTTCCACGACCTTCGGTTTCTCCAGCAACATGAATCAGGGAAAGAGAAAGGAGGAGGCTAGGAAGGTTGAGAGACGCTCTTAGGTATACACAGGTCTGCTGCGCCTGGCTGGCCGGCCTCTTCGTCATAGGAAAGTCCCGCCCTCAGTAGTTTTTGAGACTTTTCCCTGAAGCTACACACCCGCAAACATCCATCGTTTCGTTGGCTGGAGAGGGGAGATTACGACGGGATAACGGTTCCTCATAGTGTGAACTAGAATGAAGACCTGTGGGGGTATTACTGCCAGAAAGAAGTCGTGAAAAAGGCATAGGAGGGAGTATACTACCCGAGTCATAGATACTCCCGGCCTGTAGGCAGAAAGGACCTACATGTCCTTACATAGTCATAGACTTCATAGGACAATAAACACATACAACAATCTCATGCTATGAAGTACAGCTAGGGGTTAACCCTTGTATGCTAGTCGGGTCATGTGATTCATGTCACATGACTAGTTAATGTCTCTCTAACATTTTTGCCGGTACTCGAGCTGCGCGAATGACTGCGGATCGTTTTGAACGATGAAAGCGGAACATAATTAATTTTTATGCATATTAGTATTACGTGGGAAAAAAGTCACCAAGTAGGAGGAATTAAGTAAGGCCGAGAAATAGTCTTCGGACTTCGAATATCATACACGCGTTTACATGATAATTTTTTGCATGGAACATAATACTCACAATGTGTTCGCACTGCGCTTTCCAGGAACCAATTGTCAACTGGTCTAGTACAGAATATAGTTAGCGACCATTGAAGCGTTTCCATTAATCTTTAACCCACTGGTGTAGGAGACATTCCTTTGGCTGTCTAAGGTCATGTGTTTTCCATTACACTAGATCATGTAGGAACAAAAACCTGCTGGCCTGAGTTATCCCCGCCTTGGATAGTGTGTAACTTCTTATGCCGTCATGCCGGACACAATTAAGCGTTATCCCCTCGAATGTGTCGAAATTCAAATAAAATCTGAGAGGTGTCTCAAAATCATCATTTCACCACTCCCTCTTACCATCTTTTTTTTCAGGAGAAGACTCCGTGGAAAAGTTGGCTTAATTCCACGGGTAAACACTTAGTTGACTGGCTGTTAATCACGAGCGACGTATCAATGATCTTTCAAGTAATAAAAGAGTATAGGAACTCTATTTAAGGTATGACCTGGGTCAGAGAGGAGCTCAGTGTGATAAATGGTCTATGGATCTAGTAGTACCATATAAGCGCACACACCCACAAACAATTCTCTTAGAATTCAAATTTTCCTATTTTTCCCCTCTCCTTCCCTCTCGCGCTCGCGCTCGCCGCATTCACCCAAAAATTGTGATTGAATCGCTGTTATTTTAATCATGCCACCTGTTTGAATAAAGCTACCCAACGCAATGTTGGACAACTCGA